TGGTTTTGGGACGTTAAGCTCTACAAATCAATCAATCAATCACTTTCGTCACATAGAGAATTGAAGTTCTTCCTACGAAGGCCCCATTGTGATATAGGAAAGATGACCTCCGTAATCATTCTGATGTTGTGAAATTCAACCGAATTCAGTGGTGCAAATGACATTGAAACACCGATGAGTGCCACAAGCAGACGACCCGAATGATGTCACTGTCAAACACAACGACTACAGAGGTGCAATAATTCTGCGTTCATTAACGCATGCGTGCCATGCGTGGTATATTTGCCAGTGCAGCCCGCCCACCCATGCACACAACGACATTGGTTGGTGATTCATATAACGACGCTCACTTATTCGGGATGTCTGAGGATAATATCGCAGTTGCAAGCTTCCAAGTTTCGGTTTCGGTTTCAGGGCAGAATTTGGGAGAAGTTCATTACTTGTCAATCATTAAAAGAGGCCTCTTTTACGAAATTTATAAGCTGCAATGGGTTCTTCGCCATGAGAACATCGATTCTTGCTGTTGAAATAACCATCCAACCACTATTTAAACAGTAAATTTATTAAACTTTAGTAATGTTGTCCCAATTGATGTCTTCATCATCTTAAAGTGTGTGTGTGTACTCACGTGATTGTTAAGGCATCGGACAAATGCCGCATTTTCCAGATTTCTGAGGATTTTAGATACTTATTTTAATCTCGCTGTACAGCTTGCTTTGTCTATCAGTTTCTAACTACAAAGTTTTTTCCACACTTTTAGGCGCTTTGTAATGACTTAAGGGTAAATAAGCACGTGAGCTGTGGGCACGATTCGAAATGTTTCAAGGTCATACCGAGTCCATGGGCATGACTTTGGAACAAAATTGGACGCGTGTTTTATAAGAATACGTTTATTTTTTTAAAGGAGCCCTGCAACACTTTATTGACATGGTCAGAAAACGCTACAGATCGGTAGTCAAAGCTACTGGAAACACGTGATCCAACATTGTACTGCAGCAAGTTGCTTGGAATTTACAATTCTCAAAATTGGCTACAAGTCATTTCTTTTTTTTTCTACAAATGATACCATTTACTCAAACGACCACGCCGTCCACCCAACGCATCGTGCGCTGCATATACTCACAGAGGCCAACGAGGGAGGCCACCTCGTACATGCTCGTGTGCTCGAGATCCCACTGAAAGAAAGCAGCGCGTTCGATAAAAAAAAAGTGCTCAAGGTCACCCCGCGCACGTGATGCAATTTTCCTCCCTCGTACCATATCTCACTGTTTGGCTTCCAGTGCTCTCGTAGAGATGATAGAAGAGAAAAACCAATTGCAGCGAGAGAAAAATCTCTGCGACTCCACTCGTATTTCACCGATTCTAAGACGTTTTGCGCTGGTCAATTCGTGTGACAATAAATTCTTTTGCAAAAATCGTTCAATAATTACCTGCAAAAGTGCTCCAGGGACCCTTTCAAGGGAATTTCATGGCCTTCTGGCAGGCGCAACAACTTGAAAGATATAGGATATTACATCTAAAATGTAATAAAATTACATTACTATTCCCTTTTATAGAATTTTAATAAATGTAATTGGACTACCTTAAAAATTACGGCTTGCTTACAGTAACAACATTACTATTACCAGGTAATTCAATGCTTCTTATGGCAACAAAACTTCGCCGTCACGCTAGCTTCATACGCTTCTCGAAAATTCTGCAACGCGGTGCCCCTGTTCCACAGAGGCACCGCGTTGAATACGCGCATTTGAATACGAGCTTTTGAATATGCGCCGTGCGCGTATTTATATGCTCGTGCAGAGCGAGGCATGCTGATGGAGGTGTTTTAGTTAGCGAAAACATTGTATCAGGACGAGGATGCCCAACACGAGATGCGTGCCGAGGGAAGGGGGGGCAGTTCTGGCGACAAGGGAACCAAAAATATGTTATTGTTTTCTTTACTATTAGGCAAGCTTGCGGCAACACAAAAATTGTAAGCTGGTCATACCACCGCAGGAAATCGGCGATGGTAATTTTGAGTGTGCATGCGAACTTTTTCGATGCTTCGGACATTGTCAATGCTTATGATTTTAACATCGACGACGAATCTGTGTCCCTCAAACGAAAGAAGCCAACACTGAAGACTTATCGTTTCAAACGTTTTTGAAAGCCTTCGTTCGTATGTCACGAAGTGCAAACGCTGCACTCGCTCATCGAAAATACGAACATCATGCAAACGACCACGTGAGCCATGAACCGACAGATCAAGACTTCATGTCTAGCAGGTGTTGATGAAAAATCAGACAGTTCAGGTTAGAATATGTTAAGCTCTTGCAAGATAATTCGGCACCATATCCCAATTACATGCGTAGTTATTGATTATTCATGTAGCTTAAAGAACTTATTCCTGTCCTGATGCGTTGATGCTCCGCGTATGTGGTTTGTGTACGAACATTATTATATGATTATGCCTGTATGTTGTTTTTGCATAAAAAGACTGTTTTTTTATCACTGAATTATAAAACATTTTTCTCGAGTTTCAGACTACGGTCACAATATAAGTATTTGTGAGATTAGAATATGTTAAGCTCTTGTAAACTGTTTTGTAATAATCGAAGCAAAGCACGTACTCTCGACTGTGTTGATCTGTGAAGATGTTCTTACAAGGACTCTAATGCTGCTGACAGATTAAAAAAAAACGAGATTCTATGGTGGGTGAATGTTCGTGTAACTGCTAGTATTTTCGCCTCTGTTTACAAGTCGCACCACTTATTTTTGATGCAGGCGAAAATTTTGTAGGCCCATGTGCACTGATTTGGGTGCACGTTAAGGAACCCCAGAGTGTCGAAACTTTCGGGGCCCTTCAATACGGCATCTCTCATAATGATGTGGTGGTTTTGCGACTTTAAACCGCACATATCAATCAATCGATCAATGAATCAAGTGACACCACTGTCGCTATGCTGCAAATGCACGGTGCTTCACTTCACATGAATAATAAAAAGCTGTCTCTATCTTAGCGTTGAGACGAGAGGTGCTCACTTCGATAGAAGCCAAATGCAACGACACCAATGCGCTGAGAATTGCGTACATGTAAACTGAGAACTTTAGGTGGCAACAATAATTCAAACGTTCCCCGTGATGACGTTCTTAATTATTATATTGTTGTATTTGTTCGTAAGCTTCGATTCTTGTATTTTTTCTTGTGATACTACCGCGAGCTATATGTTTTTAGATCACTTTTTTTCCCTCCCAGGTGCTCATTTTAAAACCTAAAACGCATTCAGGCCGGTATTTATGCATACTGAGGGCTAAAAGTAAATTCGTGAACGCAAAGTGACCATCGCAGTAGCTTACAAAGCTAAAACACCGAGACTTCCACACACAGCGTTTGAATCACCTCTCAAGCACAGCCGCACCTCTGGCAGTGGCCGCTGGCTCCATATGAAACCGCGGCGGCATGCAGTTTCGTGATCATAAGAAGCATTTAATGACTCGGCTACTACTTTAGAAGAGCAACTATATTTATTCTAAATTAACAAAACTTTATTGTGAATGCGCTAAGCCGTGTTTATATTATTTACACCACATATTCGTTGAAATCTCACAGTATTTTGTTCAAATTTTCCACACTTGAGAGTTGGCACCAAGATTAGGTGGCCTATATTGTCTTTTTATTTTTTTATGTCAATTTTATGCCGCAAGAGAAGTGGATGTGAAATATTTAAAACCAAAGAGTTGGAAAATAGTGAACGGATTGGTGCAATTCAATCGCAAGAAGTAATTTAGTGTATTACAAAATTATCTACCCACAAAAGTAATTCATCATAGTGGCCAAAAATATTTAATTACTGTAAGTTAATTACTTCCATGTCTATAGCCAGATCAGACCCTGGCTATAGACATTGCAGTGAAGAGCTGTGAAAAGTCGTTGAGTCAACGACTTTTCACAGCACCTCGTGAGTTCTATGGTGCTTTTAAGGTGCTAGCAGCTTTATCTTTTAAATACCCACGCCGAGCTCGACTGTAGAACTCCCTATACGTATCGCTCTTCAGCTAGACGCACGGAAGAAGGAAAGAGTAAGATAACACAGAGTACAACTGCGAACTTAGACAAACGATTGTTTTCTTACATTAGAGAAATATCGTAGTGCCAAATGAACGCACGCGAAGGGCGCTGCATGAAAAGAAAGGAACCGAGACGCTCCACACGCGATCATGAGTCCGAGGCGCCGAGAGGGAGGGGGTCTCTGTTTTCGCTTGTGCGCACGAGTATACGAAAAATGCGTCAGCTTTTTTATTATCAGGAAAACGTTTGCCGGAGGCATGCCGGCTATACTTGCAAATCCGTGCACCAAAAGCGCTGCGGAATTCGACAGTAACAATGGGAGAGACGTCGGAGGCCGCCTCCAATGGTTCTTCCCCGTCTTAATTAGGCGCTATCGGCCCGCCGGGCAGCCGTAGCCGCTTCGTGTGTTGCTCCTTCTAAAGAAAACACTCAAGGAAAAGGTAAGGAAGGGGTGGTGGTGGGGAGCTGCGAGCAGGGACGCCAGGCAGCCCGAAATCCAGGGCGCTGGACAGCTGTGGGCAGCGCGCGTAATGAACGCACTGATAAGCCGTATTTTTACCACCGCCCGGACGGCGACGAGTCGCGACGCACCTCCGCCACGGCTCCTCCCCTTTCGCTCAGGGTCCGTCGGAACTTCCGTGTGCAGGGGGAAGAGCGGAGGAAGAGAGCGGCTGGAACAGAGCCTCTCCGCAAACGACGATTCGACGCGAAAGCCGGCGCCGACTCTCTCTTGCTCACTTTTGGAGGGCTGCGAACGTTTTGGTTAGGTACACTTTGATCATGCTTATCTCTCCTTATCTTCTTTTATACTTGCTTTCTTTCTCCTGCATGAGCGCAATTCCGGCTGGGACAGGAGAGTAAGACTGGATCGTTCGGCGTTATCCTCGATCGGATCCGATCCGTATAAAAATGCACCGCGTTTCGAGGTGTGGTCACACTTGGATTTGCCTCTTCCCACTGACCAGGATACCCGAGATGCACGCCCGTGTAAGTGCTAGCCATGCGACGCTGTTGCTCGCGTAGACCGTAAGCCGACTGCTGTTCCGACAGCGGCAATGTACCCATGGCGCGAGCAGTCCGCTGCTGTGCGAAGCTGAATAGCGACAGCTCTTCTAGCCACCCTAAGCGATTATAGAGACTGTACCCGCCTGTGGGCTTGTGGCTTGTTGTTTATAGTGGTGTAAACAGGACAACAGCGAGCTAAAACGCCACCTTGACCCCATGTTTAAAGCCGAAAGAAATATGAAGACCGCACACAGGGCCAACGGGTTCAGAGCATGCTCATGCACGCGAAACAGGCTTGCAAAAATTATTTAGAGATAGCGTGGGTCCATTCAGACTACGAAGTACTCGTGGCAGCATTTTAAGTTCTCGGTGACTCGTTCGATACCCTTTGCTCTCACCTCAAGGCAAATGGTGTCGGTCGGGGCAAACCACTGTAACTAGGCGTTAGTTGAGATGAACGATCCAAGGAAAGAATGCATAAATTTATCTATTGTGACGTATGGTATTCTGGTGCTGCTCATGGTCATGTTGTATCAGATATTACCCTGCACATAATCCTAGGGAGCTACCATATTGGGTTTTCCATATTTAGAGCAATAGCTTCTCGTGTTCATATAAGGTAAAGAAATTTTTAAAAGGAAACCTATTTGTGCTCTTGCTTTAGCAGCTTCGGCAGTGGAAACATTTTATGGGTGACTGCGATGGGTCATAACTATATTTTAAAGGGTCATCGCGCTTGATGACACGTACAAAAGCAACAAACATATTGTTTGTCTCGCTAGTAAGTGTCTTCACGCATGCTCCGACCTCTTCAAATGTATCGAAGCCACAAGCCCAGAATGTCGTCCTATCAAGAGAGACTTGTTCCAAGAGCGTACACCGTAATTATGACTCAAGTATTCTCATGCGCACAAAAATTTAAGGGGGCCCGATCTCACCGACACTTGCGAGAATAATATTTAACTGTTGCATAATTCGGTTTGCCACGAAGTAATCGACATATTTCAGCGCTTTTGCTCTAAATTATTGTCACAGGTTTCAAAAGTGAATGCATGTCATTTTTTTCAGGTGATCGTCCTTACAGCTTTGGTGTCCCATGCTCTGGCTGGCGGCTACGCTGGCGGAGCAGGCGGAGGAGCTGTCGGTGGAGGCGCCAGTGGCCCAGGCGTCGTGCACGGTGGAGGAGGCGTGGGCCTGGGCCTCGCCGGTGGTGGAGGTGGTGGCGGCGCTGGACTAGTAGGTGGCCATGCAGTCGCTGTGCAACTTCCCAGTCCCCACCGCGTCGTAGGTCACGTTAAAGTGGCTCCTGTCAAGACCGTCTCGTATGTCAAGAAGCCCGTTGTCAGCGTCAGCTACGTGACCAAGCCCGTTGTTAGCTACGTGAAGCAGCCCGTAACCACTGTGTCGCATACCGTTCAGCCCGTGGTCACTGTGAGCCACGCCGTCCTCAGCGACGTTGGCACCTTCGGAGCAGGTGGCGGAGCTGGAGGTGGCCTGGTAGGAGCGGGTCTTGGTGGTGGACTGGGTACCATTGGAGCCGTCGATGGTGGAGTCCGCGTTGTGAACGGCTATGGCTTGGCACCGTATAGTCTTGCAGGCTACGGCGCCGGCATTGGTTTCGGGCACGGCTACGGAGGAGGTTACGGAGGAGGTTACGGAGGAGGCTACGGCGGATACGGCGGAGTTGGCCTCAAGGGAGCCGTAGTTGCCGCCGACGTCGGAGCTTTCGGAGGATACGGCCATGGCCTCGGCTATGAAAGAAGCGTCACCTACGCTGCAGGACTGGGCTACGGTGCTGGCTATAATGGTGGCTACGGAGGAGGCTACGGGGGCGGCTATGGTGGAGGATATGGAGGCAACTATGGCGGTGGTCTGGGCCTTGCCACCTACGGCGTCAAAGGACACCTTGGTGAAGGCGCTCTTGGCGTTGGACTTAAGGGAGGCAATGCAGTTGGTGGAGGTTACGAAGGTGGGCTGCCTGGTGCCGGGGTTGGGGGAGGCCATGTAGGTGGCTATGGATGGTGAAACGCCTTGCTCTCATCTCATCTTCACACATCTCGCTAGTAAGTGGTCCGAACCCTTAAGCACTTTTGGCCATTACATAATGATGCGCGCACAAACACGTGACATGATGTGCTAGTCGAGCTTACAGGTTCTATACTATTGAAAGCCTTTACAAACAGCAATCTTTCTAACTATTGGATGAGATTTATGAAATATTAATCAATCATATTTGTGTGGATATTCCACATGTGCTTTTAAAAAATCTAAGAACAACAAAAATTATGAAAACACGGGAACAAAATATAGCATTTCACAATGTGACTTGCAAAGAAGCCTAGCTGTTATGCGTTTAGGACCGATCTTGAAAATTCACAATGCATCCAACCTTTATTTTATTATCTTTTTTGACACACAGGTCCATCCAAGAAAACCGCTTGATTTCTCAGGAGCCGCATCACCTACTTCCTGCACTGCCCTCCCTGAGCGCCACATGTACAGATTCACGGGCGTCGCATCTACCGAATAAATCAAGGGCGTTGCACACTATAGTCAGGCGTACGTTGTGAAGACATCGGCAACAGCAAACTGGTTCTGCGGGGACAGGTGCAGAAATCAAGACCATAGCGTGCCATAAGGAATGCCCACCTGTCCTGGTCAGTGGACACGGACATTTGTTTGGTGTACACAAAATAAACTGAAATGGTGGAGAGGCACAACCAGGGCTGTTTTTTTCCTCCTTCGGAAGGAAATTTATGCACACTATCTGACACGCGTTAGGTACTTAATGGTTTTTTTTTCTTCAGTTACGTCAATCTACCCTCACATGTTTGTAATACCTGCGCATGTGAATGAAGATGTAAGTTACGTCAGTACCCGATTTCTGACTTAAAATTGGATATTTGCGTTCCAAACCAAATTTGTCTGTAACTAAGCGTACCGTCGTAGAGTCAGCTGCGCGCGGATACTACAAAATATTTTAATTGGTAGCAGAAACTTGCAGGCTGAAATGAAGTGGCGCAGCGTGTGAAAATTCGAAAAATGTATACTGCTTCGAAATAAAAGCCTGTTGCAGGTTGTCCTTGAAGAGAATTTTCCGCCGGAATTTGCAGATAAAGTTGATTTTGACACTTTTTAGAGTTACCATTGTTGATCATGAAAAGATGCGAACAATGAGATTCCCAATAAGAAGCAGCAAGAAGCTGAACATACGAATGCAAATGTCTACACGGACGCGCGCCAAGTAGCGTTCGTCGGTGGCGAGTGGCCGCGCTTTCGACATGCAAGTAATGATGGACGTGGAGAGCATATCTTCCGATGAGTGTACCGAAGAGTACGGGTGGCAAGCAGCAGTTTCCAAGCGAATGTCGACCAAATCTGCTGCTAGCGGGGACTTAGCCGGAGCTGGGCCTAACACGGACACGGCGTCTAGAACATTCGTGAACGGCGATCAGGTCAACAACAGAGTCACGAGGGCCTCCCGCATGCCCTACGTATCTAAGGATCACTTGAAGATCATTCTACGACCACGTGGCGGCATCAATATTAGCAACATGGGTTCCACCACGGCAGGCAAAGCCATCATAGAAGCTGTAGGGCTGGGCTTGGGCCAGACAGCGTCAGACATCATCTGCCCGAACGTCAGCCTGAACATAATTGTGGCGAGTACATCGGAGCGGGAAAATGCTGAGAGGTACGTGAGAATAAGATCAATAAACCTGGGTGGTTGGAATTATGAGATCAACGCCTATGCGGCTGCACCAGACGATACGTGCAAAGGAGTGATAAGAAACATCGACGTCGCCGACGGGCCGGTGGAGCTTGAGAGAAATATCGTCAACCCAAGAAACCCCTTGGCGCTCTCGGCTAAAAAAATTAGGAATACCGGCATGGTGATCATCGCCTTCGACGGTTACAAGGTTCCAAATTTCGTCAGGTATGGTCCGATCCTGGTGAAGTGTTCACTCTACAAGAAAAAATTGATATATGTTATGCTTTTGGCCGGCTCGGTAACAGAGCTGACGTGCGCCCCACCCCAGAAGAGACCATGTGTAGAGCATGTGGCGAAATAAACATAATTAAGGAACACAGGTGTCAACTCAGATGTGAAGTTTGCGGTGGTCCACACCCCACGGCGGACAAGATGGGCAGACAGCGTTACACAATCACATACGTTGTCAGAAGAAGAAGTGAAAGAGCAGTGGCAACCAACGCTGAAAAGGAATAAGTCGGCAATCCACTGAACCTGCCCTCACCCGAGCTGCACTCCACGGCATCAGCTCCAATGGATGACTCGAAGCCAACAGCAGCATCTTGCGGCAGGTCCAGGTCTTGAAATCACTCCTGATTCAGAGGAAGGAGTGTATCTAGATTCAGAAAAAGAAGTACATCCAGGTCCCAATCCGTATTGAGGTCTGGGAATCGGAGTCCATTGATCAACCTAGAATGCGAAGGAGGCATTGGTTCCACGTGCGCCAACAAAGTCAAGGGATTGGCGATGACGGACAAGACGTCAGCTACCAGAGGACAATCTTCCGACAACAAACGACTCGCCTAGGCCGATGGTGGGCGAACCGAACCGGTAAGTGCCATGCTTTGCAACCCACCCCCAGAGCAAAGTAGGGAAATAGAGAGGCTCAAGAAAGAAAATGAAGAACTAAGGGAAATTAACAAAGATATGCTTACAGAATTAGCAGCAATCAAGAAACTTTCATGTGAAACCAAGCAGGCCGAGAACAAAAACACGCAAAAGGAAACGCCAGTTCCCGCGCCTGTGAATGATGGGGTCATGTCAGCCAAGCGCAGAGCCATCGAAAGTAAGCTCAAAAATACTGAAACACACATTGAGAAAATGAAACAAACACTAGCCTCATTTACAGATAAAATGAAAACGATCATGGACAGCGTCTCACAGTTAACGATGAGTGTGGGACAAATGCAGAATACATCAAATGATTCTAGGGAAGGGCTTAAGGCATTCAGCGAAAGAGTGAAAACTCTTGAAATGATTAGTATGTCCGGCCACGACAGAGCGTGGTGTGGACCATCGTTCCTCACAGCCCCCATGATTTCCCAGGCAGGGGATACAAATATCCCATATGGCCCACTCTAAAAGGGAATTTCGAGTGTGGCAATGGAATTGCAGGGGTTGCAACAACAAACGTGCCACACTCCAGCAATATCTCAGATCAATACAATCTAAGCCGGATATAATAGCACTCCAAGAAACTGGGTACGGATACGTCACGCTCACTGGGTATAGAGCTACAGAGTGCGAAACCTATGGTAGAGGCCTATATGTGTTTGTAAATAAGCAGCTCACACACATCTCTACCAATCTGGGCATTCGGGACAAGAACTTAGAGTGTCTCATGGTGGAGGTATTAGTGCAGGTCTCATACAAAAATCAAATATGCAACATTTTATTTGTCCTCAACATTTACAGTAACCCGAAGCACTACAAGCAACACTTCAAGATAATTTTCGAAAAAGCTACGAAACCCGCAGAAACTAGGCGTCTAATCATATTAGGGCACTTAAACGCTGCTCATTAACTCTGGGGATATACTGCGACAAACCCCAAAGGCAGGAATCTATGGCATCATGCAGACGAGCAAGACCTGGTATTGATTACGGATAAAGGGTATCCCACAAGAATCAGCAATTCTGGCTGGAGAGACACCACACCCGGCCTAACCTTTGTCAAGAACGTAGAGCATCCCATATGGACAAATACCGGTCAAACTTTGGCAGTGATTACAATGTTTTCAAGGTGAAGCTGGAGGTTGAGAAAGGGCGCACTCGAGAATTTGAGGTTGTTGATTGGTTGATTGGGATGTCTTTCGCAGAATTAGAACACAAAGCGAACCAAATGCTGCCAAACCAAACCTCAAAGCGTGGAATCCATCAGGATAGATATCAAATCAGCCACCAGAAAGCTTCTCACTCACGCTAACGTGGAGGCCATGGATTCTAAACAAGCCCACTTCATCGAAGCAAGGCCGGCCATTACTAAAAAAAATGGCGGACTCAAAGACTCAATTCTAAACTAAGGAAGAAAATTGCAGAAGTAAATAAACAAATTGAACTGCACTGCACCAAGTTATGTAAGCACCAGTGGGATGAATTTTGTGATACGATTGATGGGCAGATCAGGAACGGCAAAGCATGAAAACTCATTAAGCGCCTCCTAGACGAGCAAGGCACCAGGTCCAACCAGAGACACTGTCTTGCTCGGGCCATACACACATCCCTTAAATATCAAGACATTGAAGCAGTTACTAAACAAGAAATAGACAAATACCTACCAGTCGCTAAGGAGCCAGAACGATTTTCATGATCGGAATAACGGAGAGCTCTCAGCCGGAGCTGGATCGACCCTTCGCTTCATCTGAAATCAGAAGGGTGTTGAGTGAGTTAAACAGAAAGTCTGCCCCTGGCCCAGATGGCGTGACCAACAAGTCACTCAGGAATCTCGACGAGCCCTCTATTGAATCACTGACTGATTTTATTAACAAAGCATAGAATTCGGGTGAAGTTCCAGATGAATGGAAACTTTCTCAAGTCATAATAATACCGAAACCGGGTAAACCTCCAAGTCTGGAAAACTTGCGGCCAATATCGCTGACATCATATGTAGGAAAAGTTGCCGAGCATGCAATCCTGAACAGGCTTAAGGATTTTTTATGGGATAACAACATATACACCGACAATATGTTAGGCTTCAGATCCTCACTATCTACTCAGGATGCTATGAAGCAGATTAAACACCACATTCTAGACGGGTACTGTAGAGATACCAAAGCCATCCTCGGACTAGACATGGAGAAAGCATTCGACAACATTAGGCACAAATACATCCTCCAAACGCTAGAGAAAATTGGTCTTCGATCCAAAATGTATAATTACATAAATATTATCTTAGGCGCACGTACAGCGAAGTTAAAGGTAGGAGACACCAACTCAGACCTGGTTCAACTCGGTGATCTTGGAACCCCTCAAGGCTCAGTGATCTCTCCCGTCCTCTATTGCGCGTGATCGGCCTGTCCAGGAAACTGAGCAATATGAGCAACATTCACCACACCATCTATGCTGATGACCTTACCGTATGGTGTGCTGGTGGTAGTGAAAGAAAGGTACAAGATGCACTTACAGAAGCAGTGCAGACAGTGGAGGAATACTTGAGGCCCACTGGTCTCAGGTGCTCCCCACACAAATCGGAGTTATTACTGTACAGAAAAGAGAAAGGAGGGAGACCTAAGGGCTCGAAGCCACTATCCGAAAGTGACATACATATATTAACCGAAAACGGGGTAAATATACCCAGAGTCAACACGATGAGGGTACTCGGCTTTTTTATAGGTGCAAATGGCAGGAATCACATGGCACTCAAGAAAATTATCAAGACAGATAATGCATACCGGATAATCAGACTACTTGCAGGAAGGCAAAAAGGCATGAAAGAGGGCAATCTTATCAGGGTGATCAACTCTTTCGTGCTATGTCATATTTCATATGCGGCTTTTATGTATAATGGGACACAAAACCAATTGAAGAAGCTCAACGTGGTGATCAAGAAAGTCATCAAGAGTGCACTGGGTCTCCCGCTTCGCACCAGCACTCAAAAATTGCTCAAGTTAGGGCTACACAACACGACTAGAGAAATTGTGGAGGCTCAAGAAACGTCACAAATAGCAAGACTCTCTGCAACTTGCACGC